TTAGCCAGGGCAAAAGTAGTGCCAAAGGCTAATGTCAGCTCTCCTGTCAACCTGCGAGAGTCAACCGCGCTCGCGGGCTGCGTGTAAGAGCCTCGCGCTGCATTGCACGGGCAGTCTGAGCTTCTGCAGAGGCGGCTCCTGCCCCAGCTCACCCTGCAGCTGCAGAAATATTTGCGCCAGCCCAGGAGAGAGGTCTGGGGCTTGGGAAATGGGTACCCCAAGAGGGTGAGGAAGACCCCGCTTCTTGTCAGGGCACCAACTGGGTCCCGGACCCGCTGGGAACGGCTGCCACCTCCCAGAGCTGCTGGCAAGTGCCCAGGCTCCACCAAACCCCACCGCCTGCCAGCAGAGCACAGTAATGCTTTTTATTAACAGAGCAAAACACCCGTAAGCATACGCAGAGCTAATCTCTTCCCTGCACCCAGCACTCCCCTGTCGAGCTACCACTCTGTTCCAAACATCTCACACCTTTTGCCTTGGAAATGCAAAGGAGTTTCTTTGTTTTGGGAGTTAGCTAGGGACCTGAACTCAGCATTGCACTGTCCAGAGCTTCATTAGCTGAACACAGACATATACACATAGCTGTTGCTCTAGAATGCATGATCTGAAAAACGTGCCTTGGTGTCTGTGCCATTTTCACCCCGCTCTCGGGGTGCTCCCACGCTGTTTCAGTTGTTGTATCCAGCCCGGACAGACGGACAAGCGGGGCACAGCTCAGATGGTGCTCACTGCCGGCTGCTCTGCCATGTGCCCTGCGCTAGAAATAACTGACTCTGACTTCTGGAGCAGGATGTAAGTCCTCAGAATGAAAGCGTATGTTTCTTTGAACTTCTGTATTTTGAAGGCATAGACGACAGGGTTCACGGCTGAGTTGGCATGAGACAGCAGGATGCCCAGGTACATCAGAGGCTGCGGGATGGCGCAGGAGGGGCAGAAGTACAAAATGCAGTTCAGGATGCCCAGAGGCAGCCAAGACACTGCAAACAAGAAGAGGATGAGGGCCAGATATTTGGCCATTTCGTATTCCTTCCCACAAACTGTTCCTCTTCTTGGAGGACTTGCTGAGCTTGGGCTTAGTTTTACCCACATGATGTAGAAAATCTCGGTGTAGAGGGCACACATGATGAGCAAGGGAAGGAGGATCCAGGTGAAGAAGCTGAAATACACCACATAATCCATTCTCATCACAGCCAAATAGTGACACTCGATGTAGCTGGAGCTGCCTGTGTGCTGGTTCCACCCCAGCATGGGGACCAGCCCCACCAACACGGACACGAGCCAGCAGAGTCCCAGAGTCACACAAATCCTTTTCTTCGTGGTGGCTGCCCTGTACCTGGGTGGGCAGGAAGCATCGGCCATGTTAGATGCAAATTTTAGAAAAAAGGACTACAATATTCAGGAACTTGGGCTTTTAAGCACTCATTTCTGGTTAGCCTGATTCAAGTTAAGCATAGTTCTGTGCAGTTGGTCCTTAGCAGCTTCTGACATTTCAAATGTATTTTGAAACTACAGGCGAACCTCCGAACAGTCACCGAGCCCTTTTAAATGAGAACCCACAAATGCAGGGTCAAAACCTTTCCTCAGAAACACTGGTTCATTTTGACCTGCATCAGTAGAGCAGTCTCCCAGAGGAAAAACCTAAAGACCACCACCTTATTCAGACTTTGAGCATACACACATTTATGGGCAACCATACCCTGACCCTCTTAAGATTTTCAGGCATTGCTGAATTTCCAGGAGTGCCCAGGCTGCTGGTGCTCCCTTGCCTACACTTTGGGAACCTCTGCCTTTGTGTGAGTTTCTCTCAGAGAACCGACGATGCCCGGGAAGCCCTGTGATGCTGCAAGCACAGAAGGAAAAGAGAAGGGAGGAGAGAAATGGGGAAAAGATGATGAGATGGGACCTTCGCCCAGACTCACCTGGTCGTCAGCTTCACTCGCAGGTACCTGTCGACTGCGATGGCCAGGAGAGACAGGATCGAGGCATGAGAAAAGATCATCATCAGGCAGCACATGAACAGGCAGGAGTAGAAATGGATGACGACTCCCAGGCTCACCATGACAGCCAGCGGCACCACAAAGATCCCCATGGCAATGTCAGTGAGTGCCAGAGAAATGATGTAAAAGAAGACAGTCTTCTGAAGAGCTGGGTTCAGCTTCACTGTCCAGATCACCAAAGTATTGCCCACCACTGTAAATATCCCAATAATGGACTCCATTATGATATAGATCACATCCAGGCTGCCTACTGACATTTTGGACATCTGAGGCTGTTTACATCCAAAATTAAGGAATGCTGCGCTGAATTCTTTTTTTTTTCCTGCAACAGCCGGGTCAGAAGCCAGCTCCTCCCTGATCTGCCTTAAATTAAGTCCCTCATTCAGAATTTTGCACACTTTCTGATCTGCGTACACAACTCCCTCTTTAAACATGAGCAGAGCAAATTGCCTGTGAAGATCCATTTATCAGACCTTCTATAACAAACCCTGTAACATCTTCCATTCTGTCTCCTTGAAGTTTCAGCACATTTACATATGCTTTTGTAGAAGAGTCAACGCTATATAGTGGCAGCGTCACACTGTGAATAAACCACAGGGGCTACCTGTTGGATGTGGTAATTTCGCTAGTTTATTTTAGCTCCAAACGCACGATCTCCTCCCCACCTGGGCGCTCTGTACTATCTAGCAGGGTGAATTAGCCAATGCACAGCTATGAGGCACTGTGGCTAGCTTGCTGCTTCTCTGAGCTTCTTTAAAGCCTGCTCAGTCTATGCTACATGCAGTGTAGGTGTAGCATCAGAGAAAACAGGGCCAAGGGACCTTCAGTGATTTAGTCCCTTCCCCTGCCACAAAAGAAGGGGTGGGGAGAGCAAACGTGAAGACACTCAGCTGGATTTTGGGTGAGCAAAAGGCAGATGGAAGGAGAAATATTTTCTTTTGACGCTGTTACACAAGCTGCTCCCCTAAGGTCCCACGCAGTACCAAGTTCTTGTTCTCAGGAGCTGCGTTTACAGCAGGCACAGGGCAGCAGAGGAGGCTAGGCCCCATTAAAGCCCCCCTAACTCGGCTTTGTGGTAGCTGTCTCTACGAGAGGCGCCTGGCTGCAGCCACAGGAGCAGAGGACAGAAAAAGGAAACTGGCAGCTGAGGTCAAGCGAGGAGATGCACAGCGAGCGCAGGAAGTGGGGAGCGCTCTTACCCGCCGCCTTGCCCACAGGACACAGACATTTGCCACGTCTGCTCAAAGCTGCAAAGTACCAGCTGCCTGCTCCATCCAGGTACTATTCATTCAGCTTGCAAAAGCCTAGCATACATCCCAGCTGTGACCTTGCACATGCCTGTCCTGGGATTTATCTCCTGCACCCACAGATATCCTGTGTCAGATTTGATTAGAAAACCAGTGTGGCCAAATTCAGTTGCAGACTGGGACTGTCTATAGACAGCTCACCATTTTCCCAGCAGTAATTCTACCAAAATGCCTTCCAGTCAGGGGGCAAGAAGAACTTACATTGATTTCAAGGAAGGGGACAGCAGAGAATAAAGAAGTCTCATTTATTTCTGGCTCTGTCTCCTCTCAGGGCTGATTTCACTTCCCCATCCTCAGTTTTGCCAGAAAGTTGGGTGGAAGAGATGGAGGACTCAATGTTCGGGAAACCGAATATTACCCATGTTTGCTTAAGCTTCGTTACACTAATATGGTACCATCCACCTAATGCTATTTGCTCGTTCCTGGAGAGCATGCATTTCTATTTGTCCAAGAGCCAGGTTACCCTGCGACTCACAGGCTGACACGAGCTCACGGGTTTGCATCTCTTCCCAGTTTCATCTGAAACAGGAGCAGCTCCTTCACTGCAGACCCACGTCCAGGAGCAAGGCACCGCATGCTGCCGGGCTCACCCACAGCAAACAGATCACAGCTTTCACACCCTCTCCCTGCTACTTCACTTCCCACACCTTTCCTCAGTTTCTCCGTCTTCCATAAACAAAGCAGAGGAAAGTATGCCACTCTCTGAACATGACTTGGTTGGTCGTTGTACTGATTTCTAGCAGAAATGAGGGCTCTCACTGAAAACGTCACCTGCATTACGAGTGTTCTGGTCAGACTGAGAAAGGTCCAAGTAAAGAGTAGGTTTTGGCCACCTCAGGGCTTTAACTGAAATGGTATACCCTGAATTAAGTAAAGTATTGGAATTTTATGAAACACCCTTCTAACACCCCCTGAACTGCCTCATTTCCTATAGTGCTGCAGAGTGATTATCTAGATTGATAAGTGTCAGCTTTGCACAGTCAACTGCGATTGCAGTTCTCCCAGTTCTAAAACTGTGGCTTGGAAGAGGAAGCAGCTAAAGTACTTGCTTATAGGTTGCTGGTAAACAGGCTTGTGGAAGCTTTTCCATCTTTTTCCTACAAAATAGCTTTCCAGAGTACTATACTGATACCACGCTGCTGAAGGGATACTGTGAGCTTCAGGAGATGTGTCCAGAGCGGGGAATGTTTCCTGGATGCTAAGGTATTTGCAGCTCTGTGGAAAGGCAACAGCTTATTTGCTGCCCGAGTGCTGAGGATGTAAAATACTGGAAGAGGTTTGCACGCCGGAGAGTCACTGGAACAACTGAGGACCAGACACTGAGGACGAACCCCACACATGGTCATCGAAGCCCATGCTCCCTTCTGCAGCTCAAGCCAGGGTGGGAGCATCTCCAGCAACTCACCATGCCAAATGACAGCCAGGTGCTGAGCAGCCTGGATGGGATTTACATCGGTACCGAGTGCTTGGTTGCTTTGTTTGCCACGTTGGGTAACATCCTGGTCATCTGGGTGGTGAAGCTGAACTTGACACTTCAGAACACGACTCTGTACTTCATCGTTTCCCTGGCACTGGCTGATATCGCAGTGGGGATCCTCGTCATGCCCCTGGCCATCGTGGTGAGTCTGGGCATCAGCGTCCGCTTCTACACCTGCCTGTTTATGTGCTGCCTGATGGTGGTTTTCACTAACGCGTCCATCCTCTCCCTCTTGGCCATCGCGATCGACAGATACCTGCGAGTGAAGCTGCCAACCAGGTGAGCGCTGGACCACCACGGGCCCCTCCGCTTGCCCTGCCCCTGCCAGCTTTGCCATGCCCAGCCTCTGCCCCACGGGCACCACCTCCTCTCTCGTCCTTAACTTGGCCCTCTTCTAACAAATATTTACTCTAAATGCATGCTTGCACATGGAGAAAATATCTGAGCCTCAAAGCCCATCCAAGACAAGCTATCTAGAGCAGGAACCACCCTCTGCATTTAATGCTGCAGCACAGACAGACCCCAGGAGTGTTCGGTGTTGCTGCTGACCAGAATTTAGCCACAAGATGAGGCTGTGGTCGAACAGTTGAATTCTTCAGATGTTTTGTTAATTTTGCAGGATGCTGAGAGTACGACAGATTTCTTGGGGTTTCTGAGGCTAATCTTTCAAATAAAATTCCTTTTAGCATTTGCTGAAAATACAAAAAACGTAACAGACTTATTAAGGGCTAACTTAAGAAGTCATTCACTTTTTATATTTGAACAGAAAAGTACATAAGCTAGAAATGCAAAGCATAATCCCAAGCATGAAAGAAGTCATATTTTTAATGGGGAAAGGACCTATAAAATTGAAGAGTGAAAGAACAGTTTGGTTCTACGAATGGCATAAACCAAATGTGAAGAATAAAGTACAGCCAAGGAAGCTGAGAAATAAGATAGGACTGCTAATAGTAGAAAAGCAATACCTAGGCAAGAGGAGCACTAAGACCATAATGAAACAAGAAACAAAATAGCTGAAAACATCCAATTATAAAGAGGGGAAGTTAAGCATAGTTCTTCTTATGGGTGCTGCAAAGTAACTGTTAGAAATGAAGAGTCAGGGCTTGTCTCAAAGTAAGACTTGGTTTCCCCTCAAAAAAACCTTAATGCTCCATTTTGTGACAATGAACCTGTAGTATTTGAACACGTGAGTTCTTGAAACCATCCTTAACAATTTTAAACATTTCTGTTTAACACAACCTGGGTTTTCTTCCCCAACAGATACAAATTAATCATTACAGAGAGAAGAGTTTGGTGGGCACTGGGTTTCTGCTGGTCTGTGTCCCTGCTGGTAGGATTAGTCCCCATGTTTGGATGGAACAACAGAGAACCAAGAAACTCCGACTTTCTCAGGTGCCAGTTTGCCTCTGTGATGAGGATGGATTACATGGTATATTTTGGCTTCTTCACATGGACCCTTGTCCCTCTGCTCATCATGTGTGCTCTGTACATTGAAATCTTTTACATCATCCGGACAAAGCTAAGACAAGGTACCACCAACGCGAGAGGGGCAGGAGGTTTTTATGGACAGGAGTTCAAGACAGCCAAATCTCTAGCACTTGTTCTCTTCCTGTTTGCAATATCCTGGTTGCCTCTGTGCATTATAAACTGCGTTTCCTATTTTTACCCTAAGTGTCAGATCCCACCGCATTTGCTGTACTTAGGAATCCTGTTATCCCATGCCAATTCTGCCATGAACCCCATTGTCTATGCTTGCAAGATAAAGAAGTTCAAAAACACATACCTTTTAATTTTAAGGACCTATATCCTGTGCAAAAAACCAGACCCAGTTCTTACAGAGCAAACAACAGACCAACAGTCATAAATAAAGAACGCATGTTGACCTGCCAGTATGTACCAGACCATTGACAGACCACTTTGTTAAGAAACTCATGGGAAAATGTCTGTTCTGTTTCATCTACTCCGACTCTTGCACAAACTGTTTTGTGATAAGGGCAAGCTCCTCTTCCTCCATCTGATGCACATTTGACATTAAGCCCGAAAGGATCATTTACGATCTTTTGCGTTATTGTGCCCCAGAGAATTCTGCTTGGCGGTTCCTGTATCAAGCCCAGATCTCCCAGGCAAGCATCTTCATTGAACAGGACGTTCCACTTTTTATTTATTGGCCTGGGCGTTATTTGGTAGGCCAGCAACCCAAAGCACCGTTAACAAGGCAGAGTTTTTGCTCCTAGTTCCCCAGCTCGGATCCACGGCCAGCTGGTAAAAGCCAGTGCTTGTTCATTTCTAGTTTTAACTCAAGCCTGACAAGTCTTTTTGTTATAATTTTGATTTCTCTTTTTGCCCAGTTATAGGCCCTTTGCTTATACACAGCCAGACTTGCCCTGACTTTTTTTTTTGCCTAGTAGCACCTATCCAATAAAACTATAGCATCTCCTGCGACAGCTCCAGCTGCAGATGACCTGCGTCGTGAAATTACCCCCACCCGCTGCTGACCAGCGCAGCTGAAAGGCCAGAAGCTGCACTGACTTTGGTGACCCTCCTCTTCTTCGGGGAGTTCCCGTCAGTGGGAGACTTCCATTGCTTTTAAATCAAGACAGTGCTCACCCCAGGAGCCTGCAAAATCGACCTCAGACATAGAGCACCAGGCAAGAGCCCAACTGCCGAACACACCGAAGCTATTAATTAGTGAGCTATGCCGGGGACAGGGGAGCATGCCAGGAAGGGATGACTGTCAAAAAATAATTATATCTTTAAGTTCTTCCCTCCTCCCCCAGCTACCTGACCCAGGATAGAACCGACTGTCTCTAAACCATCAAGGACGCATTTTCCTAATTTGTTCCTAACCCACATCCATTTTTGGGGTTCTTCCTGCACAGCATATTCCCGTGCTTAATTCTCCCTACAATCACAAACTGTTTTCCTAACACCTGATTTAAATGTAATTTGCTGCAAGTCTCCTCTGGAAACCTGAAGAACAGTTGCTTTTTGTAGCAACCTGTTACAGATCTGAAGACTACTCTAAAGGTGTATGTAAATGTGTCTACATATGTCTTTGTAATAAATTGTTGCAAAATACAAAAGAGATACTTAAGAGAAATTTTGTCCAGTGCCTTTTTTTTTTTTTTTTTTTTTTACATAAGGATCGGTTGGGTCCACTGAAAAATAGGATAAACGTGTTCTTTGTTGTTGGTAATACAGCAGCTCTCAATCCAGCCATGTCCTCGCTGACTATTCTTACGCCCCTTGTCTTCGTTGTCAATTTAGACTAAATTTGAGTCTGGTCAACTTGTGCTGCAGTCAGCGTTGTCACATTTTCATGAATAATAATAAATATTAGATGGATTTTATATTAATTCAGACTGCTCGTCTCCCATGACAATCAAAACAGCAGCCTACATGAAATCTCCACGCTGTTTTAGTCGGCGTCCTGACCAGGATGCCACAGAAATTGCAGTAAATATTGCACCACAGCTCTCTCAGCCTGTATTTAGGGAACATGGGTCAAGCTGAAAATAGGTCATTAAAGGCCAGGCTCTTTTTTTTTTCCATCTTTAAATAATAAAAGTGATCTAGAGAAAGCAGAAAAGGGAGCGCATCATTCTGTTATTTATCTCGGAAAGTGTTGGCGTTTGCTCCTTTAGCTGAGATCAGACGTCCTGATTTATTATCTGATGCAACCCTTCTCACAGGCCAAAGCTCTGCCCTGTTACACAGTGCAACTCTATTAATAAACAGGCCAGCAAAGGAAGTCACTGCATAAGTACATCAGAATTTTGCTACATGATCTCTCATTATCAGTTGATAGAACTGATTGCTTTCAGCAGAAAAACAGGTCCCACCTAAAGAGCAGAAAATCATTCATTAGAATGACGCACAGCAAACTTTGCCTGTGTATTTTTGAGAAATTGAGAAAAGAGGGAGCAACACCGCACCAAATTCCTAGCAGGCTGCCTGACAAACACCAAGAGAACAAGGCATAAGGATATGGAGAAAGAACAGAAACAGAGGGCTGAGAGCAGGGGAAGCTTGCTTTTTTTTTTTTTTTTTTCTTTTTTTCTTCTGAAAGCAAGCTGCAAAGGAGAGCAGTCTCAGCAAGCTGACTGACCCTGCTCAGCCCCCCGAGAGGGAACCCCAGGCAACAACTCACCTTTTAGCGATGAAGCGGGATGCTCACCACCGCTGGACCCAGCCGCTCTCCGTAAGGCAACCAGAGGAGCAGCTGCCCCGCGGCGGGAGAGGTTCATTAGCTGCCTCCTGCCAGTGGTGGAGCTGCACTGGCTGGAAAATGTTCATGCAGGTGTAGTAGGTCCCTGGTTCTCACTTCCAGCAGTTACTCTGGAAATAGTTGTGGCTTCAGCCCCAGGCAGAGATCAAACAGGCTGAATAATGCTTAAACTAGACGTGAAGATGGGTGAAGGCACATGCCAGCAGTCCACGCGTATACAAATATCACTCAGCTATCCCTGTGAGAGCTGGCCGAGGGAAACGCAGCCCGACAGTCACGTCAACATCATCGCTGTAGCTCTAATAATCCATCCTTTTAACACTGCAACCAGATGATCGATTCCAAATATATAGGCCACCACTGTCCATGCACCCTTCAAAGCACCTTTTAAACCGTGAGCCGTTTCCACCCACCCTCCCAGGGCTGGACAATTTGCACTGGACTTTCCTCTGTGACAGCTTTTCTTTAGGGAGACCACAAGTACAAACACCTCTAGCAGAAACCTACTGAAATAGTGAAAATGGGAGAGCCAGAATAGCAAAACAGAGGGGGGACAACCCCTCCTCTATTCTGATAAGCAGATGCCGTTGTCCCAAATTCCTCTATCTGTCTATGAGACAAAGCGTTGGCTGATGGCTACCATTAGAAGCTTTGTATGACTATGCAGAGCTCTTGGGATGGGAAAGGGAGAGACAGAGGGATACTCTGGGATGAGTCTGGGACTCTGCAACAAACGGAGGTTCTGTCACCGAGGGCTGTACCAGACGCAGCTCTCCAGGTAGGCACATGAAATTGCCGCACCGTGGTTGGCAACGTTTCACAAAGTACATGAAATGGTTGTGCTCAGTCTCAGTACAGTTCACAGTGAGAAAACATCTACATGAAAACCCAGCATCCCAGCCGGCGTCAGGGTGGGGAAGCCTATGGCGAGTCACCTTTTCTTGCACTTCTAACACAGGATCTAACAGTATCTGACCCAGGAAGGTAGTGTTCTTGTTGGTATGGTGAAGTAACGTTTGTGCAAGCCAGATAAATTGTCAGACATTCTTATTTCTCAGTTGCTGTCCGGCAGCAGACTAGCATTGTTATTAATTTTAAGCAAAAAATAATTGTGAACCAACTACGATCATTCGTCATGAACCTCTCAGCAGCTGCACATTTTGAGTAATACGGTATTTTCTCTATTAAATAGTGCTTGAAGAAACTGCCATGACTGAGGTGAGAGCAGATACAGCAAGACAAAGACCACAAGTTCTACACCTGACCCTGTAAAACGGTCAGCAGCCTTACCCACGACGCCTCTCAAGCCCGATTTCAGAACGCAACGGTGTTTGTGCACCTGCTTTTCAGTGGTCCCCCGGACTTCCACCAGCTTCTGCGGTCAGGAAGGCAGGACAAGCCAACGGGGCTGGCAGAGGTGGAGCCGCTGCTCTGCTAACTGCTCCTTGGAAAGACACCAAAGGCACCACGTCCAAGCTGAGCTCAGTCCAAGCTGAGCTCGATCCAGCTCCCATTTGTGGCTTGGTGCTGCCATCAGGCGGCACATCCAGCCGCCCTCCTTTGAAGCCTCGCAGATGCCAGACTTGCTGTCTTCACCTGCAGCACACAGGAGGCTGGAGGACCCCAGGCACTTGTCCTGCCTAAGAAATTCCTCTGGAGAGGTGTTTGCAATAGCATGCACGCAATCATCTGCATTTTTAGAAAAGAGAAATACCTGCCAGAATCTGACAGTGTCTGGTGACCAGAAACAAGGAGGCTCCTGAAGCCCGGAGGGCTGAGGGGGCTGGAAACTTAGCTGCAATTCAGCCTTCAGGAGAAGCGGTGTAGGACAGACGGAGATGGCGGTACTTCCTCAGACACCGGGCCTCCCGCCCATGGGCACAGGAACACGCAGAGAAGCTTCTTGGTAGCTGCTAGGGCTGAGTCACTAGTGGTAACTTATCCCCCAGTTTATGAAGTTTTTTTAACTTTTTACAATGTATTTAGAACACTACAGGTAATAACACGTGAAGGAACACCTCCAGACATTTTGACCATTACACTGTGATTGTGCATTTCTTTTATGTGACCCAGTCAGGTAGCAGACATTTACATACAAACATTTCATCATCATAACTTCAATAAGTAGAAAATAACTAATCAGAGCACTTGGCAATCAAAAAAAACCAAAAAAAATGCTGTAGTCAGCGACCGAAAAGGGAAACACAAGGGCACAGACATGAATAGACACAGAGTAACATTTCCATTTTTCAATTCTCTTTGGTACTTCAAAGCAAGAGCAAACACACAAATGGAAACTTTACAAGTGTGTTGTAGGGACTCACTGAGATTTCTCCAGATGAGGAAATACGGTACGCAAAGCAATTTGTCCACAGCTGTCGGCAAATAGTTTGGAACAGGAGATGTCTGTTTCCCCTTATAACTATAAAATGAGCTGACATTACATATGGCAGCGCTGCCGTTTCTCAGAGCTCTGTAGGCCTTGATATAATGTTCTGGTAGCATTTGATGTGCAGAAAGTGCAAACGTCTTCATTTCACTAGAAACTTCTTCATCACACAGCCATCGGTGTCCGACTCCGCTGGAAGGCCAGAGTGGTGTAGGCAACCTCATTCTGGGGACATGAAAGAAGCCGC